TTCGACATGAACAAGTCAAGTGAGTCGGGGCAGCCAGCCAGAAAGCAACGAAAAGTGGCATGGTAGAAAAAACAATGCAATGGGTTACAAAAATATATATCTTACACTATTTTCATACTCTATATATAATTTAAAAATTTTTATAAATATTTGTCAGAGAGATGCCATGTTATTTTTGGAATTTTTTATCAAGTCTCCTTTAACTTTAGAAGTTAAATGTTAATATTTTAATATTTGACGTAATCTGCCAACTGTTCCTTTCATCTAAGTATGTTTTTAATTTTTCATACTATTCTAATTAATTATGACATTTACGAAATTAATTGAAATTTCAAAACTCTCGCCTCTCTGATCTGTAAACGTCAGTCTTCAGCATAAACGGCGACCTTTGCCTGCCACCAGACAAGCATGGGCGCAGTCCAGGGGGTTAAGGGGGTATCCTTTCGAGAAAGAAAAAAAATGGGGGCTTAATGGAGGACTGGGTGGCTTCTCTATTCATTTGGCCCGGCGACTGGGCGCTCTGCGTTGATTTCCGTTTGCTGCATGTAAGAGTGCAACTTGAGCCGGCACTTGCTCTCAAGTGAGTGTGTGGGTGTGTTTATGTGTGTGCCACACTGCATGTGTGTTGGTGTGTTTGTGAAGAACTAAACTGTTGCCATGTGACAAGTGGCAGCTTGACGACAACAACCAAAACAACAACAACTAAAGCAACAGCAACATCAACGACATCAACGTCAGCATCAATGACGCTCAGTGCGCACTTTGCAGCAAACATAACAAAACAAAACGGGGCAGCAACATGCCAACATGGCAACATGCACCTGCAACTGCTGCAACAGCAGCAGCAAGGAGCGCAAAAAAAAAAAATGAAAGACGAGGGGACCATGAGAAGGACTTGACTCACTGTTGTTGTTTCAAGTTAAAAACTACAGAAAGCGCACTCAAAAATTGCCACAAAAAGGCTGCCTGAACTCAGCCACCCATTTTAGCACTCAAGTAATGAGTCGCCGTCTAGTGCACTCTTGTTATTCTTTTCCAAACCAGCCAGGGGCTTATATATGAAATATTCAAGGGGGACATTCCAATAAATAATTAAAGAAAGTCCCCTAAATGGGTTTTGAATAATTTCAAGCACTTGACAGTGGAACATTGCACAATGCCATCTTTCAAAGCATGGTTTTAGAATATTTTTCATTATTTTAGACAGAGCCTCTGCTTTTTACTAAGCAGACAATTGCACTCAAAGAGGTTAAGCGTTAGAATTTAATACACAATACAGGCAGTCACCTGTGAGAATGTTTATTGAACCCGTCAACGCCGTGAAGTCAAAGTTGAAGCCGAGAGGGCAGGGCACAAAAGCCAAGAAAGAGAATCATTTAACACGAAAATCGGATTATGAAGCTCATATGGACAATGTCAATATCCTCCTATATATCTACAAATATATATAAATTCTTCGCCGAAGAATACGTATATATGCAGTGTTAGCTTCGGTTTTTGGTGAATTGTAAATGCAACAACAATTGGAAATCATTTGAAACCTTTCAAATGTCATACAAAAGAAATTGATTTCATTTTTACTTTTCTGGATTTTTCTCTCTGGTTGTTATGTTTGCAGCTCCAGTTGCCATGCGATTTGATTTAAATTTCAAGAACTTGTCGGAAGAAAAGGCATTGACGTCACCAGTCCTTCTATTTTGTCCTTCTAGTGAGATGCATTCGTCAAAGGATTTCCAATAAAATATGCATTACAAAATAAGCAAATAAATAAGTCTTTAAGAAGCTGAAGGGTAATAAAGATGATAATTCAATTGACTGCCTTAAATTATCAAAGAAAACCCACCCTACCCAAAAATCAGTATTCATATAAGCTAGGTTAAGACTAATCAGTGCTTCCATACCTCCTTAAAAAATGTCAGGACACACCTTTTGACCCCTCGACTAGTTTGAGGGCAACTTCCAGCACATTAACCTTCAGAACGGGCTTAACTAATTCCCTTTCGGCTCGGCAATTCAATTAGCAGTAATTCCTGGGACACAAACACACAAACGACATAAAAAAAGGACATCTTAATCGAATTTTATGTCGGGCGCCCCAAAAAAAAGAACGAGTTTGGAGTGAGAACAGTTAATAGTTCTGGCTTTGGCCAAACAAAAGGCTTACCTCAAGCCAGATAGCCAACCAGCGAGCCGTGGGCGGATTTATCTATTCTATTTTGTAATTTTTAATTTCACAACTAATGCGATTATTCACGGCTGACGGACCAGGCTGGCAATAAAAATGGCCAGTGTGTAAGCCACGTTTAACACTCGGTTTATTTTTAGTTAACGTAAAGCTTTCTCGTTACATCCCTCTCATACCCCATTTCGTTGTTATTTTCGTGCCAGACCGGCAAATAGAAAACTACTAGAACTATTCGCACACGAGCTCTCACTAAGCCCCAAAACTTTAAGCCTTCCAGTTAGTGGCCAAAAAGAAAGAGTCCTCTTATTTGAACATTTTTGGCACCTATATATGACATGGTGGTGTGATGGTAGTAGGGTTTTCTAACTGAAACATATAATATTTTTAACAAAAGACTTGAGTTATGAAATTTAAGATGCTAAGTCTCTTCTCCTTGTATTTGAAGTTCAAAGTAATACAATACTATACATCCTTGAACTCTACAAGTACTGTAAGCCAAGTCAAGTCGTATTCTTTTGTGGAAATTAAAGCTTTCCGGCGTGCCTTTGTACAGTTATGACGCTTCCACGCTTAACATTTAATTAAAAATTTTGTAATTACCGACTGGGAAGTGGGTTTGCCTTGCTCTGCTCCGCTTTCTATTTAGCTTTGCCGCCAGCCAAAGATGCAATTGCCATCCTGCCATCCTCCCACACTTGCACTTGCCACTTTCCACTTACCACTTGCCGGTTTCCAAGAATGTAAGCCGCCCATTTTGCCTCCTATCGCTCTCGTCCCGACGGTTTTGTTTGTCTTTGGCGAGGAGATTCACACCCCAGTGGCCAGGACCCAGCAGATATTGGCATGAACTTGGCAGCAGACTGCATCCTTATCCTTGCCTTCCTTTTGATACTAATTGATAAATGTAAGCTCCTAGGAGGTCCTTTTGTCCCCAAAATGAAGATGCAACCTGGTCATTCAAGTTATGCAGTAGCCAGGATTTCGGCCATTAATTTGTTTCATTGTCTCTTGGGGAAGGACGTACCCCATGGTACGACCCCAGCCAAATCCCTTTGATCCCCCGGACTGACATACGCATATTTCGCATTTTTCGAGAAATTCCACACGTGCCAACAATGTAGGGGAGTGTCTGTATTTTCATTTTTTTGTGGCGGTAGGGAGGTGCCTGTGGCATCAAAGTGCATGCAAAATACGTGACATGCATATTGAAGTCACTCACTATTTATTTTTATTACGCAAAGCAGCAAAGAACTTTTGCACATATTTTCCCTCCTTGATCTTATGGCAACTTTTTCCCCCAAAAAGGTAGCAGAGGCAACAGCTGGAAAAGGGATGGGTTCTTCCCGAAGAAACTTCGCCCCTGACATATTTAATAAATGGTAGTAGCTGTCAGAGGATAGTGAGAGTTTCTCCTCTCCTCTATTTTTCTAACCTTCATTGAAGCTTGACTAAGCAAAATTTATTTTATGTGCTTTTTTCCAATAGCCATCCAAAACTCAATTTCCCAGAATTTCTTTCCCGTAATTTGATGAAATTGTAATTGTAAATTATAATAGTGTGGAAAATCTACCCTTACAGTCATAAATTACGAAAATACAGAATTTATTTCAATATCAGTTTCAATTTTGAAAATATATGATTTCGATTTAATTGTCTGTGGGGCATAGTTTTAAGGACCTGCGAGTTTATATGCAAAGCAAATTAGAGCATTTTCAATTCGTAAATAATGCAACCGAATAAATGGGCGTAAAACATTTTGATATGCGATTTTCATGGGCCTAATTAAGCGTCGGAGTGCGCCTTTTCCGGAGCATCCTCCCAAAAACATAATCAAATTTTCCACCAAATTGTAAAAGGGGCAAAAAAACATGGAAATGTGCGGAAAATGTTCGTTAAACATCAAAAATTGATGGGCTGAGAAATGGCATCGCAATTATGCAGCTGAACTTGACAGGACAGGACAGGGCTGGAGTGGTCACGACAGGCCGGGTCGGCCGAAAGGACACAGTTTAGCACCTAGCCATGGCCATAAAAATTTGTAATTTCCACAACACATATTTCCTTTTTGGCAACTGGCCAAAGTATGCGCAGAAAGGAAAAAAAGAGTTGCAAAAAAAATATATTCAGACCGTAAATAACCAAAGTAAACAACGCGACAAGCGGTTGGCATAGAAAAAAAATATCTAAAATAAAATAAAAAAATAAAGAAGATAGGAAAAAAATAACAAAGTCCCTACCACAAAAGCCAAAAACTCACTGCGAATGTGAATATTCTTGGAATTTTCATTTGTTGTCTGGAGTTGCATGGGGTCGGTGAATACAGTTAGGAATGCTATAGCATTCCCCAAACCAGGCTAAAAGCCTTGTCCTGAACTAGCCTTCACAACCCCCGTCCTGTCATCGCAATTTGTCGCTTTCGTGTTGCTTCTGCCGCTGCAGTTGTCGCTTCATTTTTGCAGCAAAAGTGTTGCAAAATATGTTGACAGGAAATGTTATGTGAATTTCACTGCGTACTTCTGCCTCTACTGGTTTTCCCAGATCTTGTTGCCTGGCCTTACAATATTTCCCAAAACAAACAAATTAACCATCGAGTTGCATTATTCTATTTTAATTAAATCACTCACTTCCACCGATTTTGTTACAGTTCCGACTGGCGAATAGCTTTGAAAAGCCAATTAAATGCACGAGAGATCGTACTTCCAGTTGGATGTAATTACAAATCCAACTAAATAAAGATAAGGTGCCACCTAATAAATTACCTGGCTAGCCGTTTACTATATAATTCAGATCGACTTTGAATTGGCCAACAGTTTACAAGTGGGCGTTTACGGAAAGGTCTCATCCATGTCCATATTCATATTGAAAAAGATTCTTAGAGTTGTACCAAAATGCTAAAGTTTCTAACGATATTCACACTGAGTGCCCTGGTGATTTTGAGCCAGGTGAGCTAAATAACTAAACTATGCACTTTAAAGATATAATTGTATTCTTTTCCCAGGGTTATCCTACTCCAGAGGATGAACAAAATTTAATAACTTCATGCCTGACCGCCAATAACATCAGCCTGGTCGAGTTTGCGGCAAAAATGAACAAATCTTCCTCTGAGGAAGACGATGATGAGCCCGTTGAACGAAAATATAAGTGCTTCTTCCATTGCGTGGCTGACAAAGGAGACATTCTGGACTCCGGGGGCTACTTGGACGTGGAGAAACTGGAGGAAATCGAAACTTTGAACGATCACAAGAGGGAGGCTATCTATAGTTGCAAGAAGCTAAACGACGACGAGGAAGATGGGTGTGAATATGCCTATAAAATGGTTGTTTGCTTGGGAGAACTGTTGGGCCCGGATGACGAAGAGGAAATAACTACAGAAGCTAACTAAAATTAAATATACAGTCAAGCCAGAACTGGTTAAGCAAGTTGAATTCAATTGTTTTGAACTGTGGGAAAGCCTCCACCAAACGTTTAGTTGCTTCTAGACAATGCATATTAACAGACCTGTCGGAGTTGCTGTTTTGATCGTTTCATTGATCAGCTTGGCCCAGGTGATAATAGTTTATAGAATTAGTTGTGGAATAATTTATATTATACCCTTTTTAAACAGAGTCTTGCCATTTCCAAGAATGGCGTCTGGGCGAATGAGTGTCTGGCCTCCAATAACATAACTCAGGCAGACCTGAAAATTATGATTCAGAACAACAGCTCAGGAAAGGCGGAGGATAATGTTCTGGGACACCACAAATGTTTCTACCATTGTCTGGCCGAAAAGGAAAATATTTTGGATTCGAATGGCTATATAGATGTGGAAAAGATTAATAATATCGATCATCTGACTGATAAAAATCGTCGGGCCATACAATTTTGCAAAGAACGCCTCGACGGGAAGCTGGAAAAATGTGAATACGTTTTCAAGATGATCGTTTGCCTCACAGAACGTATAGAACCAAATCATATAGGAAGTGAGACTGAGAAAAGTGTCGATACAACAACTAAGAAGTTAAATGAGTAATGCAACCAAAACTGGTTAGACAACTATGTAGTATAAAATTTGCTTACAAAAGTATAAAAAGTTTACAAACCCTTTAGTTTGTTTTTTACGATGAACACAAAAAGTATTGGGATTTATGCGGCTCTGATCTTGGCTTTAATCAGTTTGGTTGAGGTGAATAGGTTTGTTTTTATAAAAATATATGCAAAAACTATTGTATTTCTTTAGTCACGTCATCCCTTTGACTTTTTTGATGAGAGCCTCGAAGATTTTGACGAGTGCCTAAGACTGAATAATATTTCAGAAGAAGAATACGTCAACTTTGAGCGTTTTGAAAACCTACAAAATGTCCTCAAAGAAAACGTTGGTCTGAAGTTCAAATGTAACATCAAGTGTCAGCTGGAAAGACAACCCAAGAAATGGCTCAATAATGAAGGCAAAATGGATCTGCAACTAATGAATGCCACTGAAGAAGCTGCAGCTGTAATCCTAAAATGCATGGAAGGTGCCCCGGAAGAATCCTGTTCTTATGCCTTCAAATTAGTCATTTGTGCCTCTCGAGCCGATCATCCGATTCTTAATTTCGAAGATATAGCCACTGCAGATCTGGCTATTGGATGGGATGAGGAGGAAGTCCAACTAGAAGATGACGATGAGGACGATGATGATGTAATCGATTACGAAAGCACCACCTTGTCATCGTAGCCAATAAATTTTAATTATCGATGCATCTACAAAAAAAAACTACGAAATACAGTAATTAATAAGCTCGGGTGAATTTGTGGGCTGATTTGCATAATTAAATGGAATTGCAAGAGGCGAACCACCGGGGCGTTTGAATCAAATCAAACTGATTCGCATGGAATCGAATTAATTGGATCGACCGACCCAGCAGGTAAACACATACCGAATATAAATTGTATGTACTGTGTGTGTAACTATATGACGTAATTAATTTACTCAATATCAGGTATGCGAAGCCCCATAAGTCCAGAGTCCAGAATGCATTTCTCATGGGTGGCTGCGATTCTACGATTTGTGGGTGTGGGCTTTCAATGGGTGTGTGTGCTCTCTGTTGTTGTTGTTGTTGTGTTCCCATGCAGGAAAAAACATTTTCCCCTTACAATGCGATTCCGTTACAGTTTTCCATTGCCTGTGAGTGTGAGAGTGTTTGTTTGCGTGCAACTTTTTGTCGCTTTCCTTTGTGCCGCCAGCAGGCGAATGCAACGGAAGTTGTCATGTTGCATTGTTGCAGCTGCTGTTGATGCCGCTGCCATTGTTATTTGCGTGGGGCAGGGATAGAGGGATACAATGAAGAAAAGGCGAGCTTGTTGCAACGCCCACACACTTGACTGGCTCGCTCTGCCACCTCTCCTCTCACCCTCGCCTCTCCTTCGGCTTTCGATTGTCAGCTCAACTTTACGCGCTTGCCGAGGGGCGTGGCACATTAGTGGCAACAGCGCGGCCGAAAACGAAAAAAAAAAACAAAACGAAAAATAAAGCAAAAAAAACTGACAAAAAAAATAAAGGGGAATACATGATTGTCAACACGCACACTCCCACACCGGCAGCGACAACACGGCGTATGAGTAATATGTCTGGCTACCTCGCCAGCAGCGGTGCCTGCACCATGTCAGCATGCAAAACAACAATGGGGCGGAAGTGCATTGTAAACGTGGCATGCACCACTTGCCCCGTCGCCCTGCCACCTCCAGTCCGGCCGCCTTCAGCCATCCTAGTCCAAAATACGACGCCCCCATCCATGCCAGGATTCTCCAACGCCTCCGACTGGGTGGAGTGTGTGCAATTATAATTTTGTAAATCGACGGAAGTTCGGATAAACATAAGAAGAACGTTTTTCGTCCAAAATGAGAACATGTTTGCCTTCAGGGCAATAAACTGACGGCAAAACATGTTAAATAATGAAAATAATAAGCTTTTGGGGAATAAGGATAAAGCCATGATAATGTTTTCTAAGCTGAAATTGTTTATAAAAGTTAGGAGAATATATCTAAATAATAAGGAGATTATAATATTCATGAAATATATACTTTATATGTCTGAATCCTTGTTACAAAACATAGCTTTGATCAGCTTTGCATTAATATTCTAGTATGCCCTAAAAACTTTGCAGTTTAGTTTATTTGTTATGCCATAAAAAGTAAGCATAGTTTCCACTTTATATCTGGCCCTTCCTATCACTAGCATTTGTTGCTTAAAGTTGCCACTCGAAGCTCCTGGGCAAAAAGCAATCTAATCACATACATTCCGGGCTCTGAGCTCCGAACCCCTGACCTCTTCCTCGCCTGGCACACATGCCTGAAATTAAATTCAACGAGCAAACTTACACTGTGCCGCATACTTCAGCAACTGCCAATAATGTGCTTGGCGTGAAGCTCAAAGCTGGGAAAAAAAAGACCCAGAAGAAAGCGAAGAAAAGCTGAGCTGGAGAAGCGTGGAAAACTTCTACTTCTTCTTCGTATTCCCCATGTCCTCGCAACTGTTTCTGTTGCTTCGAGTGCGCTTATCAAAAGACACACAAGGCACTGACATGCATCCCAAAAAGAAAAACCCAAACCGAACTGGGAAGGCGGCGAAGCGAAGCGCGTAAGTTTTTCAGTTTTTCTGCTGCGCTTTTACTTTGGGGAAAAGCGGGGGAAAAAGAACTTCTCTGCTCTACTCTGCTCTTCTCCTCGCCAAGTTCTGCATATGACTGCAGGCACGTCTCTGCGTCCCAGTAAGTGCCGCCGCCACGTGGGTGTTCTGAGTGTGGCTGTATAGGTGTGCGTGAGTGTAAGTTGATTTATGCCACTTTTTGTGTGTATGGGTGTGTGTGTGGGTATCTCCATGAGTGTGTTGCATAAATGATTTATGGCCAACTCTCGCGACAGTTTCGTTTCGCTTTCGTTTGCAGAGAGTGCAACAAAGGACGAAGCCAGAGTGGAAACTGTCGCATAATAAATAATTATAATTGTATTTTTCTTTCCTTCGCCTTGGCTCTTTGTCTGTTGCCGCGCCGAGCCGAGCCTTGCCGTGCAGTTCCTGCCACATATTAATATACTTTATAAATATTTGAGTTAAGAGTGCGAGGTGACAGTAAATGAAAGTGCGGGTAATTGAAACCGCCGCATCTGCTTGCCACCAGGTGTGTCGAAATCGGACAAATGATGGCTCTCCCAGGATAATGGGTCAACTATTTGTCCTGCCATGCAAACACACACATGTATACAATTTTTGTTTCTTATGTATGTAACAACAAAGACAAAAAAACAACGGCTCTGCAACATCCGGCAACTTCAAAGTTTGAGCTTCCTGCTTAGCCACCCAAAAATCTTTACTTCCTTACTTGGGCTTTATTTTTTTCGGTTTTTGTTTATTTATTTCCTTTGTCCTTTTTTCGTTTTGTCATGAAAGCGAAATGCGCTCACAGGAAACGGGAAGTGCGCCTCATGCAACATTTATGGAAAATCCACACTCCACACTCCCTATACGTCCAAGGACTCCGAAAAAAGGACGAAAAAACTAACAATAGAACCGAACAAAAACAAAAAAGATACACCAGAGAAGTTGACGCGTAAAAATTGTCACAAAGTGTAAATAGAAAATGAAATTGAAATGCCTCACAGAGATTTAATTAAATTTCTGGCCGGCAGAGCCAAACAAAAACAGGACACAAAATATACCAAATGGAAAGCCATGTGTGTGTGTGTGTGGGCCTGGGTGTAAGCTTTTGTTAGTCGGCAATAAATATTTGAAAAATCTTCGCACATAAATAATTTCGTTTAAATTGCATACATAATTTGGCAGTAGGCGAATCCGTAAATGTTCCACAGAACAATCTCTTTCAAATACACATCTCTCGATGATTTCATGTTGGCCATCAACAAACAGCCAACAACTTGCAACTCTGTGGCCAATTGAAATTCCTATTTTTCAGCAACGAGAGTAGGGTTTTTATATTTTCCTTCTTGCTAAAAACTGAAATATTGTTCTGTTTATTGGCAGGATTCGATATGTCTGAAGTATTTAATTTAGAAAACGAAAGTAGTCCAATTTATGAAAAATTTATTTCTTAAAATTTAATTGATAAAGTAAATGGTTCCATCCAGGATTTAAATGCAGATTAATAGAGAACTGTTCCACGATTCCATAATGGTACACCGATTGGGGATCGGACAAATATTTTCCAAGATACAGGCTCCGCAAGTTGCCAATTTCTGGTTGTCCTCGATTATGTCATCTTTTAAGGAAAAAATCGAAAAAATTTAAGCATCCAGGATTTAAATGCAGATTAATAGAGAATTGTTCCACGATTCCATAATGGTACTCCGATTGGGGATCGGACAAATATTTTCCAAGATACAGGCTCCGCAAGTTGCCAATTTCTGGTTGTCCTCGATTATGTCATCTTTTAAGGGGGTCCATCAGAAAAAAATGGAAAAAATCGAAAAATTTAAGCATCCAGGATTTAAATGCAGATTAATAGAGAATTGTTCCACGATTCCATAATGGTACTCCGATTGGGGATCGGACAAATATTTTCCAAGATACAGGCTCCGCAAGTTGCCAATTTCTGGTTGTCCTCGATTATGTCATCTTTTAAGGGGGTCCATCAGAAAAAAATGGAAAAAATCGAAAAAATTTAAGCATCCAGGATTTAAATGCAGATTAATAGAGAATTGTTCCACGATTCCATAATGGTACTCCGATTGGGGATCGGACAAATATTTTCCAAGATACAGGCTCCGCAAGTTGCCAATTTCTGGTTGTCCTCGATTATGTCATCTTTTAAGGGGGTCCATCAGAAAAAAATGGAAAAAATCGAAAAAATTTAAGCATCCAGGATTTAAATGCAGATTAATAGAGAATTGTTCCACGATTCCATAATGGTACTCCGATTGGGGATCGGACAAATATTTTCCAAGATACAGGCTCCGCAAGTTGCCAATTTCTGGTTGTCCTCGATTATGTCAACTTTTAAGGGGGTCCATCAGAAAAAAATGGAAAAAATCGAAAAAATTTAAGCATCCAGGATTTAAATGCAGATTAATAGAGAACTGTTCCACGATTCCATAATGGTACTCCGATTGGGGATCGGACAAATATTTCCCAAGATACAGGCTCCGCAAGTTGCCAATTTCTGGTTGTCCTCGATTATGTCATCTTTTAAGGGGGTCCATCAGAAAAAAATGGAAAAAATCAAAAAAATTTAAGCATCCAGGATTTAAATGCAGATTAATAGAGAATTGTTCCACGATTCCATAATGGTACTCCGATTGGGGATCGGACAAATATTTCCCAAGATACAGGCTCCGCAAGTTGCTGGATGTCCTCGATTATGTGAACTTTTAAAAGGGTCCATAAAAAAAAATGGAAAAAATCGAAAAAAAATTAAGCATCCAGGATTTAAATTCAGATTAATAGAGAATTGTTCCACGATTCCATAATGGTACTCAGATTGGGCATCGAACAAATATTTCCCAAGATACAGGCTCCGCAAGTAGCCATTTTCAGGTAGTCCCAGATTGTGTCAACTTTTAAGGGGGTCCATCAGAAAAAAATGGAAAAAATCGAAAAAAATTAAGCATCCAGGATTTAAATGCAGATTAATAGAGAATTGTTCCACGATTCCATAATGGTACTCCGATTGGGGACGCTTCCAAGATACAGAGATACATACAAGATATGTACAAGATAGTACATTCCAAGATAACAAATATTTTTTAAGATATAGGCTCCGCAGGTTGCCAATTTGTGGTTGTCATCGATTATGTCAATGGACCCCCATCAGGTAAATTCTAAACTTAAATATGCCTTTTGGTTGACATGATGAATCTGTTTCTATGGATTCAATATGTGAACGTACAGGACATGGGCACGGAATATTTAATAAAAACCAATAAACGTTAAAAGCCTTTCCAGTGAGCCATGGCCAGAACCCACCTGCCCAAAACCACTACACTCGACCAAAGGCTGTGTCCCCACTCTTGGCCGCCTGGCCGTGCGCCCGATTAAATGCATTTAAATGTGTTTTCGTCATAATTATGCATATGCAAACATGACTCGACCAGGGGCCACTCTACACTGCTCTATGTATATGTATAGCAACCTGTAGCCACCCTCCTGGACCTCCATGGGAACCCCCTTTTGGCATATGGCATGTCGTGGGTTTTCCGGCAGCTTAAGTGCTTTAATGGCTTTAATTATGTTGCATGCAATTATTGTCCATGTCCAGGCAAGAATGATCTTCATCATCGGCTTAATAATGATGCCGATGCCATACGGAAGCTTCTGGCCACGAACCAAATGCAGCAAAAATTATATAATTAATAAATGAAAAGCAAAATGGATAAAACTTCACACGCCACGCACTTCAGTGTACTACGGAGAACGAGTCGGGGAAAGCAGATGCTGCTGCGTTTTGCTTTTGAGCATAAAATTCAATCGCTAAATTATGCAAATAGTCCGCAACTGCGACAATCGGTTGCTGGCGCGCGTTACGTATACGCAATGTCGGACGGATGAGGCCTATACATATATATGTCTGCTTGAGTGTGAGTGTGTCTGTGTGTGTGCGCATTCCCAAAGAGGTCGCCGAGTTCATCGATTACGATTTTACTGCAATTCCGCTACGGTTGCCGGGTTTTTTGGCGCAGATGCAAAAAAAAAGAGGCAAAAATCGTACACACTCTGACAGCAGGAGGCGGAAGAAAAATTCCAGAACAACAAATTCAGGACTCGCGGTATTGGTTTTCTTTTAGCTAGAAAAAAATATTTCCCACTTAGGCGTCACTTTTTGGGTCGCAGAGCAATTTTTATTTCGTCGACGTGACAAACGCAATCAGTTTCAGTCATATGTGTGAAAATTGTTTTTTTTTTTAGCCTTATGGCCAAGAGGTTCAGTTTTTCCACCTTGTCTAGCTTGATTCGTTTGTCGCTCATTAGCTTTTCCATTCATCCGAAATCTAATTTGCACCCTGGCATCTTAAAAGGAACCAAACAACAAAAAATCCCCTCACTTTTGGACATCCTTTGGCGCCAGAAACTACCACTTTTCGAGTCCTGGCTTTTCGGCTGCTTGCCATTTTGGCCACAGGACTCGCACACTGAGTTAATTAAAGTTGTACATGGTAGGCGCAATCAGGAGTAGAACAAAAAACACATGTAACCAGATCCTTGTATGTGTTTTAGTGAGTACGTCCATGTGTGTGTGTGTGTGTGTGAGAAAAGGCCAAAACAAATTGCCAAAGTCAGAGAAGCAACGTTTTACTTTTTTGTTCGGGGCTGAGAGCAAATGGCAATTTATAAAATCCTTTGAAGTGTCGAAAATCAGTAATTGTAGTCAAAGTGCAAATTGATTGCCAATCTCTTTCTAGCACACATACACTTACCTCTATACCCTTCTCTTTCTCTGCCTTCTACTCTATACTGTATACCTCTCTGTCGCTCCTTTTCCCTTTTGGCCGCTTGGTTTGTGCCGAAAAATCAGTGTGGCAGACATGTTTTATTGAGTGTAATTTGTAGTTGCAAATTAATGGCCGCACTTCACTTTTAATTAAAATGCATCAAGAAGGAACTAGGAGCAGCCAACCAGGCGTATACGTGATATATGAAGTACCATATTGGATGCTCTATTTTGGATTTATTCTGTATTCCTATATTTCTTATAGCCTAGCAAAGGGCCTTATAACTTTAATGCCACCCACTACTTTCTTGTTTTTTAAGTAAGAGGGATGGGACTACCTATAGAGGCTATTTCTGCTTGAATTATTTAAATAAAACAAAACTTATGTTCGGGAATCAAAAGAATTATTAAATTGTTAAATAACCACATTTTTATAATTTCTATTAATTTTTCACAATTGTTTCGGTTATCCAACCCATAAATTCAGCCACATCTGTATACACCGTCTTCTGATGCCCGTATTTGTAGCTCATGATTCCGGCCTGTACCATGCGCTGTCTATCTTTGTAAAAAGCCACATGACTCAGTGATCCTCCGGAGACACCCACGTCCATATCGATTCCCTCGCCACTGACGCAGATTTTTGTGTCATCGTCGATGCCGCACTGGGCTAACCCCAGCCTTTGGACGATTGCCCTTTTGGGAATTTCTTCGAGTATATTTGGCTTCGTGAATCCCCAGCCGATTACCTCCATACTTTCTGCCTCCTGTATCTCCATTTGAAGGTCCGCAAACCGCGGCAGGCATGTTGGTCGAATCCATTCGGTGTACTGCACTGGTTCTTTTAGCCGAATCAACGCTATGTCGTTCCTATAATTACGTTCATCGAATTGCGGATGGGTGAAAACTTTTTCGACTGGAACGTCCAGGGGTGTACCCTCTGGAAAAATTTTACTATTGCCCAAGAACTTATGATCGTGTTCTCCCAATCGGACGGATACCCTAGGATAAAAGGTAATTTCAAATAAAGCTCTGTTTCATCTTGGATAATAATCTTTTACTTACAGAGTCTCACTGATACAGTGCGCAGCCGTCAAGACAAATTCTATCAAGAAAATAAGAAGTATGCGAAGTGTCAAATGTTCAGTATGCTACAGATCTTACCAGAAGTAATCAGAGAGCCGCCGCATTTAAATTGTTTCCCAAAAGGCTGTGTCTCGTACTCGAGTAAGGTGATCCATGGCTGCATTCCCGGCCCTATTGTATTTCTGGAATACACATAAATGGCAAAAACCCCGCATATATTATCATTTTTCTCCAGCAATTCCAATCCTTCAGAATTAAGAGGGTCTTCACAGCAAAACGTTCTTCTCTAGAAAAAATTTAGGTTTAATCTTAACCTTGATTCTTTTAGTCGCTTTACTTACCTTATCGCAGGCCACAACAGACCTTCGATATCTATCCTCCTCGTCGGTTAGATTTATCTTTTTCTTCCACTTTTCTGCAATTGATTTAAGCGCTGGGCAATCTCGAGGACGCCGGCATTTGCCCAATTTTTTGTCATGGGTCTCACAGACTTTGGAATCTACAGGGCCAATCCACTGTGAGCACAAAGTTAGGCATATAGCCAAAACCGAAAATCTCAAACCCAACATTCTTCCAGTAAGATAGAGTCGCGACTATACGATTCCCGCAACAATACCAGCGTCGAGGGCTTTCCACTGATAATAAAATTTCAAATAAATTTTAATAGTACAAAATTTACGAATTTTTTCCGCAGAAAAGTTCAAAAAGTTATCAGATACTGTTTTTTGAAAAATAATTCCCAGAAATAATAATAATTCAATTCCATTACTTTGGGGTTTTTAACTTAGAATTTGGGGTTTTAACGCCACTAATAATACTATTTAAAATTAATCTATATGTTTAATACATGCTTAAATGAGTTTGATGATGGGCTGCAGAGAAGTTCAAAAAAGTTATCAGATACTCTTAATCAGGGAATAGAGATAGGGAAGTGGATTGATTTGGCGACTAAGATTTTGGGCTTTTCATGATTATTGGAACTCATGTTTAAAGATAAGGTACGATTCAAACGTCACATTTCCCAGATTAGTTTGAAATAAAAATTCGCATCACAGAGGAAGAGGAAGTGAATAAGTGAATAGGCAAGCGGTCCCATCTTCCATCCTACGAACGAACAACCAGCAACGTCCTACAGCATCGCCGCCAAACCCCAGAAAGAAATACCAGTAATAGCAGGATGGCACAGGAAGATCAAGATATCCCCACGTTCAAGTGTGTGCTCGTCGGTGATGGCGGTACTGGCAAGACGACGTTCGTCAAGCGCCACATGACCGGCGAGTTCGAGAAGAGGTATGTGGCCACACTGGGCGTGGAGGTGCATCCGCTCATCTTCCACACCAATCGCGGCGCTATTCGTTTCAACGTCTGGGATACGGCCGGCCAGGAGAAGTTTGGTGGTCTGCGCGACGGTTACTATATCCAGGGTCAGTGCGCTGTCATCATGTTCGATGTGACGTCCCGTGTTACCTACAAGAACGTACCCAACTGGCATCGTGATCTGGTCCGTGTCTGCGAGAACATACCGATAGTACTGTGTGGCAACAAGGTCGACATCAAGGATCGTAAAGTCAAGGCTAAGAGCATCGTCTTTCACCGGAAGAAGAATCTGCAGTATTACGATATTTCTGCCAAGTCGAACTATAACTTTGAAAAACCATTCCTGTGGCTGGCTCGTAAGCTGGTCGGTGATCCAAATCTGGAGTTCGTTGCCATGCCAGCTCTTATGCCGCCCGAGGTTAAAATGGACAAGGATTGGCAGCTCCAGATCGAGCGGGACTTGCAGGAGGCCCAGGCGACCGCTCTGCCCGATGAGGATGAGGAAATATAATCATATTTATAATTAATATCCGGCCGGCTTACTACAAATCCTCACACAAACACACATACACCCTCACCTCCATATATATACATATACAACAATTATAAATAGAAAAAAAATACGGCATAGAGCAGCAGGAAGATTCATTATTGGAAAGCCACATCAAGGATGTGGGGAAGCTGCAATACACACAAGACATTACCAATCCAACCAACAACAATAACAGAAACTGCAACAACAACACCAAGAAGGAAAGCAACAACCAACAACAACAACAACAAGAAAGAATTAGGAGTCGCAGCAATAACTGATTATAACTGATTATACTGATTATAATTGTAAACTGGGCGTTCGGTTTGATTTAAACGGTCTTGCCGCAACCGTTTTAACGCCGAATGCATTTTATTTATATATATATATACTTTAGATCCACTCATTTATAAGTCGGTTATAAATGATTATTTTTTTTTTGTTTTATTTCCATTTCGTTGGTATGGCAAATCTTCTAAAAAAAAAAATTACACAACCGAAAGGGAAAGATGAAAAAACAAACTAAGTAAAAAAATCACAAATATATAAAATATTATATGAAGTAAATACTATTTAAGCAATAAAAAATTGGGTTTTAAACAATAATATATGTACACTTGACATATGGATGTCTGGCAATATATTCTGCCCTTTTATTCTTCCAAAACTTCTTGACTTGGATCACGATAGCCTGAGGTGACACTCCCCATGCAACGGCATCTTTGACGCCTGTTGCACAAACTGCAACTTAAAATGCAACTGCCTCGAAGTTTTGAATAAATTTTCGCCTTTTGCCGGCGGCAACAGCGGGAACAACAAGGCATCCGGACGACTCTACAAGGACATGCAGGCATCATCAATTTTGGTTTGCGAGACTCATCAATAAAACATAACAGCGGCAAATGGAGACACATGTGACATTGCGCATGCAACCGATGGATACTGATGCAGCAAGGACCTGAGGTATATTCCCCTGGCTGTTGCTGCAACCTCTCAGATAAAAGCCACGCCCACTGATTGGTCAACAAGTTTCTTCTAGTTGAATAAAATGGAAGAGTCCAGGGGGAGGCTTAAATAAAAATACTTATCGATTCTTAGCCGAGAGGGGGAACTTTAAAGAAGCACAACTCCCTGAGAAAAAAGGCTTAAATTGCAGCTTTATTAACTCTAATTGTTTCAACGTTTAACCCATTATAATATTGGTTATAGGTATATGCATCAGTTTAACCAAAAATCCAATGGTTCCCATGATGAAGAATCCAATGGCGATTGCAATGGAAGTCCGTCTAAATTCTTGACGATTTGGCTTGGTGCAGCGCTTCATAAATCGCATCGAGTCCTTGAAGAAACCAGAGGACGGAATCATAAGGCACATTTGATCCTTGAGTTTACGGCCCACGCCAGCCAGGCTTTTGCATTTCAAGTCGGGAAATAATTTGCACAGTTTCCTTCGAAGTTTTAATGCCATTTTAATATTCTGATAGGAATAAACCTCAACTCACCGATTGGATGACTTGTTCTTGCTTTTACGACGACGCGATAGCACTTGCTCCATCTTCAGATTAGCAAATTTCGAAATTGATTTCTATGGTTTCGGTTGGGAACAGGAAAACTTATTTGTATTTCATACACCAGAGAGGCTGAACGAATTCCACAGGCCTGTTGAGATCGACAAGAAATTCGTTCTTAATAATTGTGCCAGCTGTTGTACTGAACAACATTACCGCCGGCAGCATTTTGCAACACATGCAGAGTGCGGCAACTTCAAATGGAAAATACTGACCGGCTTACACACATAATCAAACTTTACGCAAACTGTTTGCCAGCCCCGTCTCCGTCTCCGTCGTTGGTCACACCAGGACGAACATTTTCTACTAGTTCACCCCTATCCTCTCCAGGATGTTTCACAATTTCAAGAGAAAGACATGAAAATTGGAGAGAGATAGGGGGAATAGGGACTTAAATGCTGCAATTTGTTTCACTGCCGAATCGTTGCTGTCTTCACTTGAAGCTTAACTAAATGCACAGGGAGTCAGTCCGAAAATTCTCCACAGCACTAAGTCTAAGCCAAAAATTGCCCCCCCCTTTGGTGTGCCATCTCTTTCACTCGCTCACCATCTATCTCTATTCATCTTGGTGCGTGGAGAGGTGGCCAGGGCCTGTTGTTGCTACGATTTGACAGCCTTGGCTTCGAGGAGATCCCCAGGACAATTCACTGCAAAATTGGTAGACAAAACTGTGCCACAACGGGCTCTGGCAATGCTCCTCTTGTTCTCATCCACGTTTATGTATGCATACACGGAGATAAATTATTGGTAATAATAGAAATATATCTTAAATAATCTGATAAATATATATCAAGTGTATAGTTTTATTAAAGCTTTTATTTAAACAATAAAATATACAATTTATGTTAATTTCTTTCTGTGTAATCATAGGGATATGAATGTGCCAGTGTCAGGGTCTGTGTGCGCCTGTGCTTGTGGATATTTATGATGGTGTGCGTGCTTGCCGTTTCAGGCATTGCCATTGAGATTGAAAAATGTTAAAAAATTGCTTTTAAATGCCGCAAAATACAATTTATTATTCAACAGAGGCAAACGCCAAACACTGAGCACAATGTTCGCCCAGGGAGTGGGTGGCCTTCGGGTGATTTTCGGGTATGGCTCATGGTATGGTCGGTATGGGGTATAAGGGGGGTACTGTTGTAAGCATGACCAGTGTGCGTAGGAAAGCTGAGCAGTCCCGAATGCTGCCTGGGTTGTAAATTTAAATAAAGCCCACTCACATACACACACATAAGGCGATTGTTACTGCAGTTGTTTTGTTTATTACGCATACGCACTGTACGCCGGCCATTGAAGTTGGTCATGAAGCGCAACGATCCCTTCGGACTTACGGGTCCTCTCTGTGGCCCGGCTTTTCCTGCCTGGGTTTTTTGCATTAAAGAGACCTTACTTTAAATGGAAATAAAACTACTCTTCTGGTATCTCCACCACACTCTGAAATCAAAGACATTTTCTCCGCAAATTCGTCTCATTTTATTTGCAATCCAAGAGCAGTTAACACACTTTTGTGTCAGACTAATTGTGGATCAGAGCGGCATCTTGGTTGGTAACTTTTTTTTTTCTATTTTAATTTTTTTTTTTTTTTGTTTGCGGTGGCACTTGAACAATTTTCCATGTGCTCGAAAAACTTTGGCAATAAAATTTGTTTCAAATTGCTTTCGAAAGCTGCTTAAAACAGTGGCAGGAGGGACGCTCTACATCCGGTGCCTGGCATCTCTTTCTCTCGGCCACTATCTCGGTCTCAGTCTCACTTTTTTAGTCGTTAGAGGCAAAGTTGTCAGTTGGCAGCGGGTGAAACAGAGTGACCAAAGTGCACCCAGAGGGCCAAAATAAATATCAAATATATTGAGAGGGCGAGGCAGGGCAGTCGCGCAAAAGTTAATTACATTGTGTTAACCGGGGGCCGGGCCAAGGCCTAATTTTGTAATTCTCTTTCTGAATCATTTAACCATGAAATTGCCTGCCCGACTGGTGGGTTACGCCCACCATGCCCACCAGACCACCAACGCCTTCTTCTCTCATCGCTGAAAGGACTAACCAAATGATAACCCACAACGCATTTTCTCCTCATGGATGTCAGTCCAAATGTGCAAAATTAGCCTTTCAACTGGCAGTGCCACGCCTCTTTATCATTGCCATAAGCCTGCTCCTCCCCCTCCCTATCCCCCTACCCCCAACCCATTCCATTTCAATTGGCCCGAGGGAAACCAGCATGTTGACAGCTGGCACACAATTTATAATGAAAAGTTTCCATTCGTACACTTTGGATGCGGGGCACACCTATTCCGATATTTTCATTATTTGTGTTTATGTTGTAATTTCGAACTAAATTTTCTATAAAGCCATTAATGCAATTAGTTGATCCTAGAGATACAAAAGAGAGAGACACACAGAGTATGAGACAGAAAATGAGCAAGGGTTATAGCATGCAAATGGAGAAGATTCGGGGGAAAGGTTACTTTGTGGGGCTGCCTGATTAATTTCCAGTGTCTTTTGATGTATAAGCTGATTTGGCCCTCAAAAGGCTCTGGGCGAAAATCTGTGGCCAAATGGCATGAGCAAGGAAATTAATTAAATTTCAACAACTCTTAATCAAACTGTGAAACCCCAAAAAAGGTTCAAGTTTTTTCCCAACTTCATACAAATTGCTTCGAGCTTAAATGGAAATTGTATGAACTTGTATGAAATCAATTATTTTCAATAAATTTTGTCTCTTTTTGTTTACTGTGTAGTTGCTCTATTTAAACTATCTTGTGTCTGGACAGAGACTACACCAAATCGATAGCCAAATCGAAAACAGTTCACAGAAAGATACCAATGTGGAGATATAAAACCTGCGCCATGATTGCCAAAAACGAGACAGCCACAGCCATTACCAATTTTTGTGCTTAACGCTTCAGTGAGCAAATCACTGAGACAGACAGACGAACCGAGGAGATCGACATGGACAGGACATGTATGTAGATATATGGAGAGAGATTCCCATCCAGAGAGATCCCGATACACTGGAGGAACTGTCATAGTTTCAGTTCCTGTTCCCCCGTTGCAGGCACCACACCCCCAGACCTTCCTTCCCACTTATTCCATCAGCATGTCATCATGGCAAATCAGAGGACATGCAACATTGCATAAAGATTTGTCACAGCTCAGGCCCCAAAAAGAAAGGAAGAAAAAATCGAAAAAAAAAGAAATAAAGACTAAATCGCAGGCAACACAACAACTCGATGGAAAACTTTGCCGGGTCCAGGAAGTTTGGGGAGTGGAGACCAAATCGCATTTTCGCATGTTCAAATACGACAAACTGCAGGCAGCTATGTAGATGGTAGAAGGAGCACAGCAAGGATACCGAAACAGCGGATGCGGATGCGGATGGGGATACGGATGCGAATGTCAAATCCTGAGCAACTTGCTGCAAATTCAATTTCGTCTAGCTCGATTGCATTGCGGCACATTGCCTGGCATCTCCAGTTTGAAATTCAACTCCTGCTCCGGGTCTTTCTTCTACTCTGGTCCTTGCTACTACTCCTGCTAGTGGTCTAGGGCTCTATGCTCCAAGCTGCAAGCTGCAGGCTCCAGCCACAACTCCGAATTCCAACTCCAAGAGGAGAAAACAGCGCTCATCGATTCGCATTGCATTTCAATATATAAATATTTATACACAAGCGAATTTGTGCACAGCTGAGGGCTGGCATGTCGTGCTACACTGAAGAAAAAAGAGTATTAAAGTAAATAAAATATACGAAAAGATGAGATATACTGGTTTCTGACCCATCTTCAAGGATTTTCATCCTTAAATGACTTCCCTTTAACTCCACACTTTTTCTTTCCGTGTCGATTCTACAGAAAATGAAGATATATTGAAACTGTAGCCAAAGCTGATTCTTCTTTCGCGAATCCGGCAAGAGTAATGGTCATGTCCTGGCTATGTAGTTGCATCTGCTGCTCAACTTTGCTGCCGCGAATCGTTTAGTTTCGCATTTGCCTTTTTTTTTTGAGCGAGTCCTGCTCCGCTAGTCCCTGGGCGATTGCCTAATTCCTTTTTATTACAAGGCCTGGCCCGACATTTGATGGCTGCCTTTCGGTGAATAAATCATGGCTAAGCCCTTATGACATATGCTAAAATTTAATTCCCCACCAGCAACAGCAACAACAGCACCCCAGCAGCCCGACTGGGCATCCTTTTTCCTCCTCAAACGGCTTTTTGTTTATCCAACGCGTGACAAAATGATTAAACGGTTAGCCGTGCTACCGGGTTCTGGCCCTCAACCCAAAAGCCCCAGCCAAAAACCCCAACAAAAACTCTGGTGTTGGGCATTGTTCGGGCCATGACAGTGCAAAATTGCTGATGATGTTAACGACGCGATTAGATGAGTGGATATTTTGCCGGCAATATGTGGGCGCTACAACCTGTGGCAGTCGCTCAAAAAGTGGCAACAGTGAGTGCTCCTGCCACTCAGTGGCTGGTTGCGAAGTATGCGAAGTTTTCCCGAAATTTGAATATTTAATCGGTATAATTTGTGCCTGATCTTTGGGCCATTAGCGGAGTTGGCTGAAAAGTCAAAAGAAACCACGAGAGTGGAAAAGAAAAATGTGGCTAAATTTTCAACTTTGATCAATCTCAACCACCTCGGCTTTAAGTATTATTAATCTCAACCAGTACACCCCACCGGGAAATGTCTTGCTTTCAATTAAGTTTCCCACTTAACCCGCCGAGGCAACTCCGCCTCCATTCCAGCCACATGTGCACTACACTGAAGTGCAATTTGTGGTGCACTTAACCATTTCATATGCTAATTATGAGCTATAAATTTGCAGCCTGGTCATAAATCGTTCGGCTTGCCAGGATTTTATGGTCGTGGTCGTAAAAAAACAAGGGCCACGTGACACCCAGGACACCTAAGATGCAGACTATAGCCTAGATGGCTGGCTGGCTGGCCGGCTGACTCGTTATTGGTAAAGTTTTTCCAGGTGTTCTGCCATCTAGTAGATATCCAGCCAACAGACCAAAAACTATATAGACAGACAATTTCCTTATGAAATGAAAATAAACATGACATTTCTAGGTTTATGTACTTTTGCAGCTGTGTCTTTGACT